TGGATGGATGGATGGATGGATGGATGGATGGATGGATGGATGGATGGGGATGTGGATGTGGATGTGGATGTGGATGTGGATGTGGATATGGATATGGATACGGATATGGATATGGATACAGAAATGGATATGGATATGGATATGGATATGGATGGATGATGCTGGATGATGCTGGATGATGATGGATGATGATGGATGATGATGGATGATGATGGATGATGATGGAGGATGATGGAGGATGATGGAGGATGACGGATGATGATGGAGGATGATGGAGGATGGTGGAGGATGATGGAGGATGATGGAGGATGGAGGATGGAGGATGGAGGATGGATGATGGATGATGATGATGACGATGATGATGATGATGATGATGATGATGAGTGCACTGGAGCTCTAAGGTATGGATTCCACACTTCATCGGCAATAGCCTGGAGCTGGACAATGTGCCGTACGTTGTTTGTGCCTTGGCTTACCACTTAGGCGCCGACTCTTCTTCAGGTCACTATGCAGCAGCTCTCAAGGACAAGGAGATCTGGTGGATCTACAACGACTCGGATGAGCCCCAGCCTTTCAGGGAGCTCTCAAAGGTGGTGCTGGAGAACGTTTGCATGCTGTGGCTGACCTGCACGCCACATGGTGGAGCAGAGCTCGTCTCCTTCCCGGCCTACGAGGCTCCTGTGCTGACCAAGGAGGACCAGATCCAAAATGTGCTGAGAGACACCACACCGGTGGATGCATGGCACACTGATTGGCTGCAGGCCCTTGACTTGCTTGACACCAAGGTCTTGGTGGCACATCCCGAACTTTGTCATCGGCTTGTTAAGAAATGCATTTGCTGTCAAACGTGGCCTGCGGACCTGAATGGCCACTATGCAGTCCACCACCGAGACCTGTGGCTGGAAGCAGAATCCATGGAGCCCAAGTGTGCAGAGAGCTTTCTGGCGGCCGCCCCGGCCCGCTGGTGCGCTTGCCAGCCCTACCAGAGGCTCCGTGAAACGGAGCTGGACAATCACTCTTGTCCGTGCCTCAGGCAGTTCATATGCCTGCATTTGCTTTTGCGATCCACACAATGGCAGCGAGCTCAAGACTCCACACTAGCTCTGCTGCTAGGATCCAAGTTTGGTTGAAGGCCCTACGGGGCTGGCGGACCAGCCAACAAGGCTAAGGGTCCACGCCATCGCCGCACGGTGAGCGTTGAGAAAGAAAAAGATGAAGATGAAGATGAAGATGATGAAGATGATGATGATGATGATGATGATGATGATGATGGATGATGGATGATGGATGATGGATGATGGATGATTGATGATTGATGATTGATGATGGTTAGTAATAGTACAGGCCTGTCTCTACTGTTTACCGGCTGTCAATGGCAATGGGACACCCACGAGGTACCTGTACAATTGCAACTTTCTTCCGACAAGGCGACCACCTGACTCTGAAATCCGGGCCTCACAGCAACCGACATGCTCTGTGTGAAGCAGCAACCGACCTGCTCTGCGGCAACCCACCGGCTCATCCGGCGGCACAAATTTCTCTTCGGAGCTCCTTGCGAGCCGCATCATCAGGCGGCGAGCTTGTGGGGCCGTTGCTTGTGGCTTCGCTTGTACTTCAGCTGTTCCAACTCCAAAAAGCACTGGTTGGCGCTGTCATCCGGGAAGTGTGGCAACGCACTCTGCCCAATCCAACGGGACTTCTGTGGGTCCGGCTTCACACAAGTCAGTCACCAGCTTCAGCAAAAAAAAAGCAACCATAATCTTTTTGCTAGGGCACAGCTCAAGACACTTAAACAGACTAATACGGGTCGTTGACTTTCCTGTGACGGGCGTTGCCTCCCTGTTCAAGGTTCATCAAGGTTCGCGCGAACAACGGGACCCGGTGGCCTCTGCTGGTTGCCGGTCCGGCGGCAAAGGTCAACTGCTTCAGATGCGGTGCCAATCGCGCCATCGTATTCCAAGGCCTCCGCCGAGCCAAAGGCTGGACGGCGGCCATCCCTACCCAGACCAGACGATTGGGACTGGAATAGTTATATATCTACATTGGGGTCGTAAATTTGGTAAATGCTGATAAATGTACGTATGTGTAACTACTTCATACATGGATGGTCTGGGCTAGAACATCAATCGACATATGTTTTTTGAAAAACGCAACCAAAAATACACACCTCTTTGAAAAACGCAACCAAAAGGACTCTGTCATATTGAAACCATTCATCATATAGAAGGGAAGCCACAGAAAAGCTGCTTAACCAGTCTGGTTTGTTCCAAAAAGCACGCAAAATATCTGGTCCAAGGAGAAACTGGCAGGACAAGTCTGGTTTTGGTGAGTAACATAAGTTGAATGAGCGATTCTTTTCTGTTTGCCCGAAATTCACCTCTTGTGTTTATCGCTGTGTCTTTCCGAGCCGCCACACCATGCTGTGGCCATAGGATGCACTGATCAACACGGCGGAGCGCTCGTCCTCGTCTCCGGGCCTGTCAAGTCTGCGGAACCAGCAAAGGCGGGATGGATGGGGATGGTACTTCTCGCTTTCGCACGTGCACACCAACTATGGCCTACATGAACAAACAACACACACACAATCACACACACATTCCAAATGTGGGCTATATGATGTGCAGTCCCATGGGTCGCGTCTAGGCTTGAAATACCTGGACCTCGTGTGGCCGTATGGCCTATAGGTAAGTGACCTGTACAGAAATTTGGGATGGAGCTTTTTGAAGCACCGGGACCATGGGATCAACCTGCCAATCTCAGACCACCCACTCATGTAGACTGATTAAGAACCTCCCATTAATTTGTTTGAGGTGTTTCATTCCAAATGCAGCGGGGACCAAGAGTCTACATTCAGCCCACTGCAACCCATCGGGACCCGGACCGTCGCAGCAACGTCAACGCTTGGGCGGAGGAGGATACTGCCTGGACCGTGCTTGCTTCGAGCGACGCAGCCCTAATTCGAGGAACACCAAAGGCTGGAGGAAAGCTTCTCCGGACAGGCACCAAGGCGACCAAGGGATCGTCAATATGCTCTATATAGAGTGTATAAGTCACATTGGATTCGCTTGTGTTGGACTTCCATAAGGACCAGGAGGGCTTCTAAGCCGGTCTTTCACGGCCTTTCTACGGTCAAGACGACGCAAGTACTGAGACCCTTACATACCCTAGCCCTAGCCTTCCACCATCAAAGCGTTAACCTGGTTTTGTAACCTGGAAATATCCTAAAATCCATTGTAAAACAACAGTGCTTCGGTCTTCCACCCGTTCAAAACCGGCCAGGAATCCAATTGTGCAGTGTTGGTCCAGGAATCCAATGCGCGTCAGCTTCGGCTAAGCTTCTGCTCCGTCCGGCGACGATCTCCCAGAGCTCAGAGACTGCAGTATCCTTCGTGAAAGAACAACACCTGCTCTCGTGACGGGATTGGTGGGTGTTCTCCTGATGTTTTTCAATCTGGAAGGAGCATCAAAAACACCAACAGGTTCAAGATGGTTCAAGCAGTGCAGCAGTGCTGATTATATAATACTCCAAACACAAGGTTTTTCGCGAAGAAGATTCCGTCCTGGCAGTCGCCCCATCACCCACTGCAGGTCTTTTGCAAATCGACACAATCACGCGAAGACGAGCCATCCAGCCATCCATCGGGTCGAGAGACCCAGGCTATGCACGTACAGGTGGCGGATTGTAGACTATTGGATGAACGAAACCACTCATATATTATATATATATATATGGAGAGGTTTTACCATCCAAATGGGGAGTAAGGGGAGGTGTGGGAGCGTGCCCGCAAGTCCGTGCATCCAAATGGGGAGTGTTTGATCAATCAACAGTCTACAGTACACTCATATAACACATCACGTGGAAGTGGAAGTGTACCAGTACCCCTCTGAATTTGAAAAAGGTTTCATGTCTTCCTTTCGGGACCGGTGGGTTTCACCACGTTCATGTCTTCCTGTGCTCGAACGGCGAGTCGAGGCTCCACCGCTCGCGGGCTCCGGCCTCGCGCGGCTCGAGCCGCAACAAGTGCACCTTGGCCGTGAGGTGAAGTGCCTGGGAGCGGCAGAGGGCCATAAGGCGAGTGAGGCGACGTTCGCGACATCTTTCTGATAGAAGATCTTCTAATAGAATTCCCGGACATCTCAGAGTGAACAGATGTGGCAGGTGTTTTCATCACATGGGAGATCTACTAATCCCCAGAGGGTTCCTTCTTCCCCCATGAACCAAAACCACCCGATCCGCAAAAACCTTTGAAGGGACTAAGACTTTAAGACGATACACTGATAGACATCTAATTGCTAGACATCTTCACGCAAACCCATACACCTGAGCCAATTGCTGTTGCTCTTGCTCGAAGGTCCCACCTATCTACAAGAAGTTCACGATACAATGATATAGTATGATATAGTCTATCTATGTCTATCTAGCATTATCTAGCTAGTTTCGGAGGGATGCCCTCCTTCAGCTTCCACCGGCCTCCGCCTCCTCTCTCACCAGTCGTGCTCGTGCTAGCACGGAAGCTGCTTGCCGAGAAGCCTCAACTCCGAAGGTCCCGTGGTTTTGTCTGGGTTGTTCTGGCAATCTGGAGCTAAAGGAAATGGCAAAAGCATCACCCTAGAAAGTGAGATGGGTCATTTGGGATGAAGCAGCCCCAATGAGAACTTCTCTCACTCCTCTCATCGCACCCTCAACTCTCTAAAACAAACAGACGTCGCTTGCTTCACAAATTGGAGACCTTGTTTGGGGGATGGCGACTGTGGCAGCTCTCTTGACTTGCTCTTGACTTGTAACTAAACCATATAAAACGACCGCGAAATGGACTGTTCGGCACCCCTTGGAGTCACCAGGTGGTCACCGACCCCAATGGAGTGAACTGAAGTCCAGTTCGACGATTTTAGGCACCCAAGATCACAGGAAGTTCCTGAACTCGGATCACCAAGTCAGACCGTTTTAAAAATGGTCGACTGGACTGCCAGGGTAAAAAAAAGAAGACCCTTCTTTGACAGTCCCCGACCGCGGTCACCAATTTCTGGCCGGAGCAACGGCCAGGTAGACCAGTCGAGCTGGACCTGTGTTTTAAAGGGCACATCCTGTGGTCTTTACAGGTATAGTCTCAGATTGTCTTGAGGAACCAATAAGAATGAAGAAAAGGTTTTTAAGAAAAAACACACAAAACTTGCTTTTTCAGAAAGGGAATTGATTCAGCACCACAAAACCAGGTCGGGCACCTTCCAAATCAAGGAGCACACCTGTCAAGCCTGGCGTTCGAGTGGAATTGTTTGGTGCATCTTCCCCACGTTTTCCCACGTCTTCCAGACCATCCATGTATGGAATATTGATATCGGAATGGCCCAATTTATGGGGGATCAGTATCGGTACAACGGTATAATTCATATAACTATTCCATACATGGAGCAGGCTGAGATCTTCCCTTAGTGGAAAAAGGAGTAAAAACGAACCGCCGCGAGTACTTCAAGCGATCCACTGTGCCTGTAGCGCAGACTTCGTGTCACCCTTCTGCACACAGACCTGCGCAGAAGAAGGTGAGAAAGGCGGTTCACTGGAAACAAAGACCATCTCCCCTTTAGCCGCCACTTGGTAGAAACAAACGTTTAATGTGAAAGGAGATGTAATCCCCAAGCAAGTATGCAAGGGACACAACCAAGGCTTTTGCCCACCCCTCATCATGTGTCCGACTGCAAGCAAAGCGACAATGCTTGGAACATATGGGACGCGCCGGCCCTGTTAGGATCTGTTAGGGCTACCGGCAGGGTTCTGTTCACGTTTCACATCTTCAGCGCATAATTACTCCGGTGGCATTAGGCTAGGGGAAGGGTAGTAAGTGGTTCCAAGTAGACGGCTTACAATAAATGCTCAACTTGGCATAAATAAAACATTAGATGTGGACGCAGTCATGAAGACCTGTGATCTCTGCAGCATGCATGGCTTGGACCCAGTATCAACTCGTAAGCCAGGAAAGGCAAGTCTGTTGAGTTCCCAACCCTTTCGCCTTTCGCCTTCGTTTGTATTCCAAAAGCCCAGAGCAGGGACCCATTCTCTACGACTAACGACCCTGAGAATGGACCCGTGGTGACCCGTGGTTGACCCCGTGGGTGTCCGAAGTCAAGAAATCTGTAGGAGAGTACCCGGTCACCGTACCGCCCTTCAATGAGATACCGCTTACAGTATATAAGTGGTTGTTCCGAGACATTTGAGCTGTGGGTCAAAACCTGGAGCGCCAAAGTCTGCTCAACCTTTGGGTAAATTTCCTGGCATGGGGAATATGTCATCCTGGCTTCGCTTCTTCCAAGAGGAGGGTTGACCTGGTACCAAAACAAACACTGCTCGATCATGTTCGGTGACTTCGTCTGGCCCGTCCGCGCGTCCCGGTGCAGATTCGCCGCGGCCGAAGGCCTTGGCACAGGCCTTCAACGCCGCGGCCTCGCCCACCCTGCACGAGGAAAGGGCGATGGGTTTGGGATGGAGTCATGTGTCACCACGTGGTCAGACGGGGCAAGCATTTTAAAGACAAACCCATCATCCCCCTATGGATCCACTGCCACCTTCTCAGGTCAGGTCATTGGACCTGACCATGGCGCCAAAAAAAACACCAAAGGTCTCCTTCCTCACCGTACCGACCTGGTTCGGTGTGTGGATCCAGATCCGATGTTCCGTTCGAGCCAGTTCCTTGGCTTTTCCTGCTTGCAGCAAATCACTGGTAGAGGGTCCAAGTTGGTCGTCAGATCAGCCGTGGAAACCCGTCGTAAAAGACTCGCTGTTTGTCATGGGTAGCAGCTGTTCCTTCAAACAGGCAACTTCAATTGAATACAAAACACATTTAAAAAATAAAACAATAATAGAACTAGAAAACACAATAAACAAATCGACTGCTGTTGGCCGTAATCCCTTCAACCCTAACCCCATAGGGGGACCAGCCCATGACAGGCTAGTTGCCAACTCCGGTCCACTTGCACCAAGCAGATTCCTTCACCGGGAGCAAACGCTTATGTCGTCATGTATGAGCTATGACTCTGAGCCATTGATGGACAGAGCGTATTGGACTTGATCCAGGTACATTGCCAGTGGAACTGGCACTTAATCTGAAACCATCTCTTCCTGTCTCAGTTTCCATCAATCCATCATAGTCCATCGATCCTGCGATTGATGGATGCATGGATGGACACAAAGTTCCGGACGGAAGGATGGATAAAGTGATGATTGCTGGTGCCCCGACTCCCTTGACAGTGGAACTGCACTTCCTGGAATCATCATGGAAGTGGATGGCATGGCCCATTGGATGGCCATGTTCCGCAAACCAAACAGATGATGCCATCCACAGTCACATAACCATGATGATTCCAAGGAGTGTACCCGACAGTGGGAGTGGGACTGTTGGTGGGTCCTCACGGCCAGTACCACTTCTGCCAAATGACTGATGGACAACATCTCTGGCAAATTCTGGCGATCATGGGGCTTCTTGGTCATGGGAGTAGGTCGGTCGATGTGGGTGACCTCTTGAACAGTTCTGAACCAACCAGCAAGGTCCGAACATGGCCGATCCAAACCATCTAATGCTCAAACCACCCCACCTGTCTCCCAGAACTCTGCAAATGTTGGCCGCATCCTCTGCCACCGCGACGGCCTGTGTGCATCGATCAAATCCGCGAGTAAGCTTGGTCAGCCATAGCCACCAATTAGCAAGCCTAAAAAAGCCTATAAAGGATCCACCACAAAACCCAAGAACATCAAAGAACATCATGTGAGCATGCATAAAACATCAAACAACATTTGCCTGTCCTATAGATGGCTATGCTGATTCCCTTCTAGCTCTTCACTTAACATGTATTCTGTTGCAGCCCCGACACTCTGAACCATCTTCTTTGCTTCTGAACTTCAGGATCTTAAGCCGGAACGATCCTGTAAACAGTCTACTACTCTACCACCCATCTAATCAGCCGGAGGAAAGGTCTGGTCTTGGCCCTGCTTGGTGTCGCCTTGGGAGGATCATCCAATGCCATCTGCGCTGGGATGGCCACATCCAACAGCACTTGTGCTTCTTGCAGCCTGGCACGCCAGAGTAGGAGTCATGGCAATATGGATTTGGCGCGCCGGAACTCATGTTTCACTCAGAACTTCATTGGGTCGCGACTCCCTGGAGGATTTATGGTATGTTTGAACATATAAATACCATAAATCCTATTGTTCAAACATATATGATCAACATATATATTGACTCATATTGCGATGATCAATGCATTGTTTCAGGATGTTGGAGGTTCGACAACCTGACTGCCACGAACTGAAACTGCCACGTGGTGGTGGTGGGGGGTGGTGCAGGTGGTGTGCGGGCGGTGCGGGTAACATCGGATTGGACCTTTGGTTCACTGCAACAAAGGGGAAGTCCAACAACTGTAGGCAAACCTGGATACACCTGGTGGATTCCAAGATCCGTAGATCCCGGGAGTCAACTTGAGTTACAATATGTCACAATGCTTCTGTCGCAGAAGCGTGTCTCTAGAATCTATCTATAAATACAGTTAACTTTGGGAATGACAGGTATTAATAACCTGATTTGCCTCAACATCTACTGCATCATACTGCATCAACCTCTTTTCTTCAACCTCTTTCTGCCCTGTCCTCTATCGTCCCCTTGCCTGAACACTGCGCTGTGTGTTCAGGCCCACCTGGGCATTACTCGGGCCACCCGGCTGGGGTTGCTTGAGCTTCTGGAAGAGCAGCCGTGCCTCCCCCACCTGCGCTACCGCGGAGCACGGGTGTTTGAATCGCATGGCGAAGATCCCAGGCGAAGTGGTCGAGTGCCCTTCACCACGCGACCTGGGACAAGCCATGACTATTATCCATGGCACCGGCCAAAAGGGAGAAAGGGACACCCATCTCGCAGCCTTGCGGGGAGCCTTCTTCTAATCTACTCAGGAGTCTCTGCAAAGATCCAAGATCAGAGTCTCAGCAAAAATCGATCGAACACATCCTACGTTTCCAACACCAGCTCACTGTGTGTGTGTGTGGGTGTGTGTCAAACCCTGTTCCAAAGGACTTTAACATACAAAACAGGAGGACTGGAGCTCTCTTCTAAGTGTGTGTTCTTCTTTCCCTGACTCCTCGGCCTGTAGTTTCTATCGGACTTCTCCGGTTCTGGAAGCAATGGGAGTACCACACTGATTGTTCGGGCAACCAACAAGTTTCTGGTGTATCCAAGAAAAATAATCAAGGATTCACGATGACCTTTTGGCCACCTCCTGGCACGGGACTAGCCCAAAAGCCAGGGAAAGAAAGCCAAAGCGCCGTCGGGTCAACCCCACACCGAGACACTCCATGGGACTGGAATACATGCCTATGTATGGACCCTTCCTGGCACCATCCCTGACCTGATCGGTCGAAAGGTCGTGTCTGGAACAGGGATTGGGTGGGCTTTTCTAAGAATGGGTGTTGGCATATTTCTCTTCTTGCAGGGGGTCTTTGAGAGGTCTCCCTATTTGAATTGAATACGCACACAAATTGGCCGGTTCCAAAAACGAATGCGTTTCGCGAGACCCGTTTGCATCAACACAACAACTGCATGGCCGCACGGCGTGGCTACGCGGTGCTGGGTCCGGCATTTGGTGAGGTCGCTTAGAGCTGTTTGATGGTTTTTGGAGCTCCCTGGATGATCTTTCTGCTATTAAAGGGCCCAGCCTCAGAGAGAGCATCCTTCAGCGAGCCCAGGTCCATGTAGACCTGACAGATCCACAACTGGTTGGTGGTCTTCAAAGAAGCAAACAACCAATATGAGTCAGTGGGTTCAATATGGTTCAATCATCCCAAGTAGAGGCTTTTTAAAATAAGAATATCCGACCCACCCCTCAGATCAAGTCTCGCCACATTCAAACCACACAGGGACAGGAGTCAGATGGAGTCAGATGGAGTCAGCACGTGAAGGGGGCAACGCCCGCATCTATGGCGAGAACAAGCTTTCGCTTTGCACGTGGTTCTACACTGCCGTTCCAGTCACATTCTCCACAGTTGGTGCATTAAATAGCCGCAATGATGGCAAAATACAAGCAATTCGACTGTATAACAATACACCACGACCTGAGTGACCTCAGTGACCTCTATATCGTACCACAAACCATCCCAATCAAGTCTTTTGTTTGGACTCCTCTGAGGTTCATCAAGTGCCTGTGGACCCTCCAGAGGAGTGCCTGTGCCTCAAGCGCGCGCCGCTCACACAGCCCTTCCACCCCCGTTCCACCCGGGCGCTTCACTCCCTCCGCCTTAGCCAGGTAGCACGTCGCCTCGGCCTCCGCGGATCGGCGAGGTGACCGGTGCAGCCACGACCGGCATCAAATCACATGAGCAAGTCTTGCAGCCTTAGGGCTCCTGTCCCACATCCTCAGATGGTAGTTAGACCCTCCTGGCACCCAGCCCGACCACCTTCATGAGCCCTAGGGTAGCTTCATGACTTATGACACAAGATCTTCTCTGAGGACAACAGCACCTGCAGCTCCAGGGACGATGATGGGCGGCGTGGAGCGCTTGATGTGCACTCGCTCATTTCCCTTCGTCGAACCAAGCCGCCAAGTGGTCCAAAATCAACCAGGCGACCAAGTTTGGACTCTAGAATGCTCAAGACCCAGCAACGTAGTCAAGGTTCCTTTGATGATTCGATGATCATATCATTTTGGTATATAGTTATTATCGTTATGATATTCTTTCCAGTCACCAGGGAATAGGCTCAGGGAATATCATAAGTTTGGTAGCTTGTTTTAGGAGACAGGTCCAGCAACCTACCAGGTGTTCCGGCCTTTCGATCTCGCCGGGGACAGCGACGACCAACTGCCCAGTCCGGAGGACCTCCCAACCACCACGGCACCTGCCCACGCAGATCTCCTCGACGTTGGTAGAGCGAGACCACGTCCACCGCAGCCTTGATGCTGGTGGACGGCTTTCCCCTGCGACGTGTTCAGTGCCGAGGAGGGCATCACAGGTCTGCCGCACACGATATAAGCACGTGCAACAAGGAGATGTTGGGGGAAAGGTGGCTGGGGGCACAAGAAAAGCATAGAAACGCATTGAGTCCAAATGAAAGTCAAACAAGTGCACACCATCCCAAGATTTGGGGTACAACTTCCCTAAACTCCGGGCTTTGTTACCTTTGCAAGTGTAAAAGTGTCACCTCCCTGGTGAAGGGAGAGCTCTAGCCACACCAAGCGCGCCAACCAGTTCCTTTCTCAGCAGGCCAAAGCTCCCGGCTGAGATGCTCCCAGCTCCCTTCGGCTGAGGGCAAAGCGGCGAACATGTGTATTTTCGCTGCAGCCCTGGGCCCTTACGCTCCCGAACAAACAAACATGGAAGTGGACAACCAATTTCTGGAGGAAAATGGTCTTTCCAGCGACAATGACACAGTCTAGGGATGTCTAGGGTGTCTGTCTCCTCCATTGGAAGCAGACGGATATGCAAATTATTGAGACCCAATCTATCAGCATCGTCCCGAATAAATCTTTGGTCTTGACATGTCTTGACAAGAATCTTCACCTCCAATGGGATGGATGACACAAACTTTGGTGTTCCACCTCAGCCCTAGTCGCTACCAGCTACATCCAGCTACATCCAGCTGCATCCAGCCATCCAGCTGCCACATCTCATCCCAAGCTCCTCCAATTTGGAGTCCGAACCAAAACAGCCTCTTCTTCCTTCAAGCCAACCCCCCTCGGCTTTCAGCTGCTTTCAGCGGCCTTGCCACCTCCGCCGCCGAGAGCTTTTGGAGCGCCTGAGACCAGGGAGCTTGCTCCGGCAGTGGCTTCTGTACGGCGAGCCGGCGCCAGAAGCAGCAAAGAACCAGTCTTGCGGTCTTCCATGGAGTTAGGTGAACGTTGTCCCGGGATCACACCAGATGGAACGAGGCAGTTCCACTGCTGGTGTGTGTGTGTGTGTGGCCATCTCTTTAGTGTCTCGTGTCCTTTTGAAAACTGGAAAAGATGGAAAAGGCCCAGGCTCAGTTCGGTCAAGCAGCCAACATATCACCCTTTGGGTCAATGGACTTGAAGCCATGGACATATGAAGAAGACGAAGAACTCGTGTCCACTTCATTCCACTTCATATTTCTCCTCACCACTTGGTGACACTGTCTTTTGTCATTGGCTTAAGAATACAGAATAGGGGTGTGTGTTAGCTCTCGGAGACAACCCTACTGTAACGACCTCCCAGACCAAAAGGAGGGACTAAAACCCATTGGTCCGAACCCAACAGACAGAGGATTCCTCTGATTCCACCTTGTTTAAGTTTAAGGACACATCAGCATCTGGTCTTCAACGCCAAGCCCACGACTTCACTCCCTACCCACAGGCAAAAATGCTGGAACCCTTCCCTTGTCAGTCCCAGGAAAACTCACTCCGTCGCATCAACAAAGCTCTTCAGGATTTCAACGTAACCCATCCGCCTTCCTTCGCCCATCCTCTTGGTGTTCCCGCCTTCGCTTCACCTTTGGTATGCTCGAGCCTTGGTAGCAACTTCTTTGAGCTAAGTACCGATCACCGGGAAAGGAGCAAGCAGGGCCTACTGCAGCAATTCCCACATCCCCCCAAAGGAATCGCGTCGGGCGAGCCCATTGATGGAGATTACTACACAGGGTTGACCGCTCCACAATTAAGGGAACTTACTACGCGAGGTGACTGGGGAGCTGGGGTTGGCCAACGGAAAAGTTGATTAAGCCAAGCAGCTCATGAAGCCAAAGAATATGTTTTTCTCCACTCCAAAGGTGCTTTACTTTACCATTGACTGGACCAGCCCCTCCGGTGCTCAACATAGCCTTCAAAGGCAGGCTCCACTCTGCATCATCTAGAGGTCTGTTGTCAATCTCCCTCCCCTGGGAGTCCAAGACGATGTTTAACACAACCCCGAGTACCTAACAAGCACTGCCCAATTAAAAATACTGATATCGGAACAGTTTATATTTTCCTTACATGTTTATAAATGACCGCCGGCTTAAACTACTAGTAAGCTACAAGCCATTTGGATCAATTTGGTGTTGTTTTCTATAATGTACTCGTGCCCCACACACATGCACACAGAGCCACGCAAACGCACTTTCCACTAAGATCGCGCAAAGCCGCATGGCACAGTGACATCACCTTTCGAAATCTCTAGTTAGTCGGATGAAAAAAGTTTACAAGATTTTACAAGCGAATAGTATCGAACGATCACTAATTTGATACAGGTGTTGTTTTAATTCAATGGGAAAAAGAAGACCATTAAATCTGGAGTTGATGTTTTCCCGAAAGCATTGCGAAGGGTTCTTCCGGAAAATCCCTTGAACACTGACACTTCGACACTTACGCTTACACACTGACACTTCCACCACATTCGCACTACATACACTGACACTTCGACACTGACACTTACACATACACACGGACACTCGGCAAGCACGCAGTGTAAGTATGGGTACGCAAGCGTGCAATGAGCATGCAAGCATGCAATGAGTAGGCAAGTGTGAGTATGGAAAACTAGCACGGGAGATGTCCTAATGAAAAAACATTTCCCCACTTTATAAATTCTCTTTTCAAGGCGGAGGGCGGGACGAACAGCGTCAACCGAAAGTGCAACCCTCTGCGGAGATCGTGCGTGTCGAGTGCGCGAAATGCAGGCGAGAGTGCGATTTGCCGGCTGTGCGCGCAACCCTCTGCGGAGATCGCGCGTGTCGAGTGCGCGAAATGCAGGCGAGAGTGCGATTTGTCCGGTCCGCGCGCAACCCTCTGCGGAGATCGTGCGTGTCGAGTGCGCGAAATGCA